GCATTAAGAAAGGATTTCCTATCAGCAGGTTTCAGCAGCTCTGATTTCTCACAGCATGCGTTAGTTTTAACCAGACCTGTGTTGAGAAATCGCAGCTTCACTCATCAGTTCAGTGGAAAAAGCCAAAGGAAGTAGCTGGTGTGGTGCAACATATGCAACGTAGAAACATACAAAAACCTGTGAGACATAAAACTGTTTTTAAAGGACGAGCTGACACACAGAAAAGCTCTGATTCTAGAGTCTAATACTTAAAATAAACCGTTGAATTGTTCAGCTGCTTTCTAGTGTAGAATGTAAACATGGACTTATTTAAACCAGTTTACTGTCCTCTTTTTGTCTCTTTTTCTTTCTAACTTGTGTCACAGTCCTTTGCTGTGAACTTACAGAGCTGACAGCCGCTGTTATGTGATTTCCTTCTGATGTTTTTGTTCTGTTTGTGAGCAACACGTTCTCACTCCCAAAGTGTAACATTTTACGCTAGGTGACAAATCGTCAACATATTACGTTTTCGGCTACCCACCACGTTCCTAAATGACGACCTCGGAAAAATGAGGAAATATGAGAACCGTATGGACTCAATCTACACATGTTTGCTCTTTTTCTTCAAAACACTTAGAAACACGCTATTTAACATCATTAAACTCTTGGTTAACCTCAGGAAAAAGGTTATGGTTAGGGCTAGGGATACGGTTAGGTTTAGGGCTGGAATACAGGGCTGGAACGTTTATTACCGCGGGAGCGTCATTGCACTAGATTTCGGCCATAACCCGCCGCGTACCATAAGAACGCCGAAGGTCTCCTTTAGCGTTCCTCAGGAACGCCGCGGGACGTGACAAAACATCGGCATGTTACGCCTCGGGAGTGAGAACGGGCTGTTGTGAGACTAACAAATAAAAGGCATCTTCTTTTCTCCACTTGTCCAATGAGTGTCTCAGCTTCACATTTGAGCATTTGGCACCAGGACACCCTAACCCTTTGTCACTTACAACTTTGTGATAGTATCATTAGATCTGCATCTTGGATACAGGCAGAAGACAGCTGTGGTTCTGATGCAGCTGTGTGGAGGGAATATTTCAGTGCTAAAAGTCATCTTTTAAGTCAAGCATGGAATCAGTAAAAGTACAAAATATCTTAGGATGAGCAACCAGTAGGATTTAAAAGCGTTTCTGAAGTTTTGTTAGGTTAGCAGGATAAGCTGCTTCTATCATTGTACACTCTCAATGTAATGACATAACTGTAGATTAGGAAACACACAGTGACCACACAGCCAGCCTGCACTTTGACTTGTTTCCTGTTTGTCTTCAGTGCTATACTTGGTCAACATATCAAACAACTCTTTGATTGGATGTAATTTAGATTAAGCTGTTGATCTTTAGCCCCAAAGAATCCCTGATGCAGGAAGTTGATTTTGGCTCTGATTAAAAAGTCCTAATATCTGATCTTGTGAGTCTTACCCAGTAGATCATGTAGGGTTCAGCTGGAGCTGATGTGGGTGAGGGGACTCGCCCAGTACTATCTCAGTATGGTCCAGGTAACCTGCTAAGCCTGACATGTAGAAAACTGAATAAGCCTGCAGGTCAAATCCTATCAGTCCCACCTGATGACGGAAGTGCGCTCCTATTGATTCTGTTATTTCTGGGATGATTTTAGTAGCCTGGACAGCAGACTCCAAGGAAAAAAAATGTAATCAAATTTAAAGAATAACACTCAGAGTTTTTTCTTTACAATTTGGAAAAAAGGTTAAAAGGCCAAAGTCCACAATTTAGAATTTAATTGCAGGAAATTTTAACTTTCCAAAGCAAAATCAAAATCAAATAATAAAAATCACAAAACAATAAGAAAATCACTTAAACCATACCTATCTAATTTTACTACTCTGAGTTAATGCTGATCTTGTTCTTATCTTTAGTGAGGAGAGGCTGGAGGAGGGATGAGCAGTGTCAGATCTGAAGATGCTCTTATTGTTATTGTTCTGTGTTGATGATAATCACCCAAGAAGAAAGCAGCTGGGCATCCAGTGGAAGTATGCTGTAGATCAAAATCCTTCTGAATTAGCCATCAAACACCTTAAAACTCAGGAGATGATAAGCCAAAAATTCCAAAATCAATTCACAGGTTGACTGCTGTTAGCGTCTCTGCTGGAACTTTTAACTGTGAACCTCTTAAATCCACTATTCTGAATTGGTCATCTTGCAGAAGATAAAAGGAAAGACCCCATCTTCTCCTCACTTTTATACTGACCCACATTCATTCAGGTTGTTGACATTTAACCATCCAAAGTCCACCCAAAACTTAACTCCCTCTCTCTCTGACTTACATGATTTAACACAAAGTCTAAACTTTTAAATGCTAAAATCCCTTCATTACACTTTGTTTTTCTCAGCATAAAGAATTCACATCATATATAAACATTGAGTCACACATGGATATAATTCATGTTACAATCAGTTTATGTGATTCTACTTCAATTAGATTTGGGGGGGAGGGGGGGGGTTCATTTTAACATTAATCAATTTAATTACAGAGATAGATGCTTGGAACACCTGCATATTTCTGGAGCTAAAAAATCAAGTCTGGATTGATATTTTCTCTTGAATCAGCACTGTCAGTGACTGATTGTAACATCCTGAGGCAACAACGATTCTTTCATTAAACTTTATTAAAACACATCTGGCTCGCTGCAGATTTCCTGTCGAGGTCATTACATTTTGATGATCTTGATTTCATGTTGGTTGAAGCTGTGCAGCTCAAGAAAACAGCTAAGAGTTTAACAGAAGGAAGATTTAAAACAGAAAGCAGTGAAATATTAACCTGTATGTGTCACCACCACCATTGAACATCATCCTCATCTTTTAGTGCAGCTTCTTCAGTTATGCTGAACAAGCATTTACCCAGAAAACAACACGAACTCTGAGGACGCGTTCCCAGTGGTTACCACCTCATCAGCTGTTATTTGGCTCATTGTAGCTCAAGCTGTGCAAACACACACACACACACAGTGAGATGCTGACATGGAGGGAATCTACCTGTAGTCACGTGTCTCGGTTACTCTTCTCTTAAATGTTCCTCTCCAACAGAAGCTGTAATGTCTCCAGTCAAAGTCAGAGTGTGGAAACCTGCTCTGCTCACCCTCAGTCGGTTTCTTTCAGTGTTTATTAAAACGCTCAGAGCATCATCTTACATAAATGTGTCCATTCCTCTGACCTGTGACTGCGGCTGCTGATCAGATATTGGAATGATGCTCATAACATTATTGATTATTGCTCCATGCTGATATTTCTGCATTTAGTCAGCAGCAACATGAATACTGACTCAGCAACATAAACATCAGCACACTGACCAACGTGTTGTTCTCTTTGCAGGCTTAAAGATAAAAGTCAAGAGGAAACTGAAATAAAGTCATTATTTCTCCATCAGTTATGATACATGAAGCTTCAGTGAAAACTTGAGTAACAACTCTGATAGAGGTCACTTTCATCTCTCCAGACTCCGCCCTGTTCTCTCAGGTAGTGATAGTTTTGTTTCTGCCACCTGCATGAGCCAGTATGGTCGTGTCCAAATTCATGGGCTGCATCCTCCTGAGGACCCGGCCTCCGCGGTCTACGTGGGCCGGGTCCTCAGAAGGTCGGGTAGGCCGGAAGTAAACAGCTGGGGAAATTGGACGGTCTAGCCTTCTGATTAGCGTCACCGCTGTCTCGGTGGAGTTTAATAAACTCGGCCGTCTGCTCCTTGCTATCTAAAATATAACAGGACACTGGTGTAAATTCTCGACCGTCTCTCACTTCTGTTTAATCAGTTTTCTGTTTGACGTTTATTCAGCTGTGTGAAAATCCCGGAGGAAGCCACCCGGGGGATTAATAAAGTTTTATTTTTATCTAATCTAAAAGCTTTAATCTCAGCCAAACCGATAAGTGACTTATATATTACGTTTAACCTGAGCAGCGAAACTCCGCGGTGATCTGAAAATGTGCCGGGAGTTGTGCTGTTCTCGGCGGCTTCAGTGACCCTCGAGCTCCCGGCGAGCTATCAAGCTTGTGGGTAGCAGACGTCTCCGAAAACGTCAAAACACTTTTGCAAATATGCGATATCTTGATAAACCGAGCAGATATTTGATGTTTACACAGCTACTTTCTCCCCTGAAAATATGTTAAAAGTTTATTTTGTGACCCAGAAAGATTAATAAGAGTAATTTTAAAACTTAGTAGCGGCCGCCATTGTTGGAAATTGGAGTTTGGCTGGGCCTATGAATTCTGGGATATGGTGGGCCACGAAGGACACACTCGACCCATCCTTCAAATTCGGGGAAAAGGGGGACGCATTTGTTGGCTGCATTCAGAGGAGTCTACGAATTTGGACAGCCTTCGGCGCGTCGCTGTGACGTAATCGGTCTACAAATGCGGCCTCAGGAAGATGCAGCCCATGAATTTGGACACGACCTATGACTGCGGAACACTGCATAAAAGAAACAGGAAGGATTCAAAAAGAAAACCTTTATTTAGAGAGGATATCTTAATCCAGGTGCAAATACAAAGCATAAAAGCTCACCTTTAAAGACTCTGTATAGACCTGATTTAAACAAATCAGAACAAGAAACATGAAGAAAAGAACACAAGAAAATAATCAGCAATAAAAGACCTAAAAGTAAATCCCTAAACAACAAAATAAAATCAAAAACCGTTAAAGCAGCAAAGACGATTAGAACAATAAGCTTAAACTAAGAAAAGGAGTAAAATGAAATCAGTTAGGATCAACATCAGTCCACTAAACAGGCCCCACAAGAGTTTCAGTCATTTCTTTATCAAGCTAACAAAACTTAGTTTGAAATCAGAAGCTTTAAAAAGGAATTTTAATCATTTGTCAAAGAAACAACTCCATACCCTTCATCCATTTTCCTGCTTGGGCTGGACTGAGGTCAGTTTTGTCATCAGACGGTGAGTCTGAAGGTCGTTCCCACAAGCCAGTTCTTATTGCCCCTGCTACAGAGGCAAAAGCTGAAATCTCTACACAGGCTGTTGATTCCCAGCTTCAGCTTTCTTTTGCATTGCTCTCTTGACCTGTTTATCTCTCCACCTGTGACCAAGGTTGTGATTGTACAGAAGGCTTCGATCAGGGAACATGTCCCCGCAGCGACTGCACGGGTACCCGGTGTGAGAGAGTTGATGCTCCTTCAGGCTGTTTTGCCAAACAAACGTTTCCCCGCACGTTTCGCACCAGAACGGTCTCTCTCCAGTGTGCAGACGCCTGTGGTGGTTTAGACTGGACCGCTGAGTGAAGGTTTTGTTGCACTTGTCGCACCAGTATGGCTTCTCTCCAGTGTGGCTACGGCGATGTGTCTTTAGGACCCCCAGTTGAGCAAAGGTTTTGTCACACAGGTCACAGCTATATGGTTTCTCTCCAGTGTGCAACCGTTGATGGCCCCTGAGGGAGCCGGACTCTGTAAACTGTTTGCCACATTCGTCACAAACATAGGGTTTCTCTCCAGTGTGAACACGGAGATGCTTTTTCAGGGTATCTGAAAGTGCAAAGACTGCGCCGCACTCTTCACAGCTGTAGGGTTTCTCTCCTGTGTGGATGCGCTGGTGGACTTGTAGAGTGATTAAAGTGTTGAAAGCTGCTCCACACTCATCACAGCTGTGTGGTCTCTCTCCGGTGTGAATTCTCTTGTGAAGCTTTAAATTGTGTTTTGACTTAAAGGTCTTGTTGCAGTCCTGGCACTGGTGCACACCACATCCAGTCTTCTTCTTCTGTTTCTGAATAAACAGCAGACAGAAAGAGAAAGCAGTGATGCTGGAGTCAATAAAGGAACAAAAAAATAAAACAAAAGCACTCAGAGAGATCTATACTAAAACTGTGATGTTTTATGGTGATTTTATTAAACATGCTGAGGTCAGCAGTTTTAACATGGAAATTCTTTGTGTAATATCTTAATCTTTGTGTGTCAGTGTGAAGTCCTACTTCTGTTTTGAAAAATAATGTTTTAAATACCCCAAACAAAAAAGTGCCTGTAGTGTTTTCAACAAGGATGTTGGTGACACCAAGTTAAACCACAAATGAAGACCCTGGAGTTTAGTTGCAGCTTATTTAATTGTCTCCATGAACATTTGGTGAAAACTGAAATGACAGAAAATAAACTCCATCTCAACAGGTAGAATCGTGTTTACATCAATAAAGAGCATTACTCTCACTAAAACATTCATGTTAGCAAAATATGCAATAATATCCAAAGCTATCTCTATCTTTTTCTATTTCCTGGCGTACGCACTTGCAGAAGCAAGCACCGTTGTTTCGCTTGTTTCGGCAAGCGCGTACGCTAAATTGGATAAGATACAGAGAAGATTAGCATGGCCCCTGCGTAAGGTAACTTACAGCGTTCCAGCCTGATAATTCAGAGTAGATGGCATCTGATTACATCTCCATATTGCCTTTAGCATGTGAAGTAGTGATGTGTGAATCATGACGAATCGTTCAATACTCGAGAATCACTTTATTGACTCCTGAATCATGATTCACAAGCCCAACTGACTCACTGACTCATCCCTGTTGCTGTTAGCAAACTAATTTTATTAGTAGAAATATATCTAGCTTATAATTAAAATTGTGGAGAAAAACACAACATCCAGTATCTTAACAAAAATATTTCTGCTCTGAACTGGAAGAAAAGACCCTGAGTAGAAGCTCACATCAAGACAATAGCTCCTCAGTTCACAGTAGCATCGCTCTGCTAACAGCACATTTGAGCTACTCGACCCCTCCATCCTGTGCTGAATCATAGCATAAACGAATCACTCACTCACGCAGCCCCTCCCTCCTGGCGCACAGCTTCTTCTTCTTCTTAGTTGGTAACCAGTGTTAAGGCACATTACCGCCCCCTGGCTCACAGCTCAGTGTAGTGATGCGCGAATCATGAACGAATCGTTCAATACTCGAGAATCACTTTACTGACTCATGAATCATGATTCACAAGCCCAACTGACTCACTGACTCATCCCTGTTGCTGTTAGCAGCAATGTATCTAGCTTTTAATTAAAATTGTGGAGAAAAACACAACATCCAGTATCTTAACAAAAAAATTTCTGCTCTGAACTGGAAGAAAAACCCTGAGTAGAAGCTCACACCAAGACAATAGCTCCTCGGTTCACAGTAGCATCGCTCTGCTAACATGCTAACAGCACATTTGAGCTACTCACCCCCTCCCTCCTGTGCTGAATCATAGAGCGAACGAATCACTCACTCACTCACCCTCTCCCTCATGGCTCACAGCTTTTTATTCTTCTTGGTTGGCAACCAATGTTAAGGCGCATTACCGCCCCCTGGCTCACAGCTCAGTGGACATTTAGATGAGAAAATATATATTTGACACATTTAAGGAAAATACTAATAAAATAAAAATAAACAAAATAAATGTTTATTAAGCAATTTTGATAGGAAATTGCTTAATTTTAAAAATGTTTTTGCTCTTTTTTGCTCTATAAAATAGTTGTTTTTTTTAAAGAATCATTCATCTTAGCAGTAGGATTTACATGAAAAGAGAAGCAAATTAAGTTTTAGTGAAAATGTAAATTTTTTGCACTCTCTGGTCAACTGACTCAGTGAATCAAATGACTCAAAAAACGTGATTCACTTTGGTAAGTGACTCATTAAAACTCGATTCAGTAAAAAGAATCAAATTTACCATCACTAGTGTGGAGCCTGTTTCTCAGCAAAAACTGAGTGCTTGACCAAAACCGTAAGTGTGCCGTCAGAACAGGAAATACATTTTAGTGATATTTTCCTTTTATCTAAAACGTATGTAAAGAATGAATTATTCATTTTAACAACACATATAATTTTTTTATGAAAAATTATTTCATAATTATTATCATAGTTATAATTTCATAATAATTATATTATTAAACTTATTAACTTATTTATTCAGAGAAATGTCTTAAGGGCAACAGTACCGATTATGAATATTATATTATTAAATATACAAAGTTGGCAGGTGATCCTTTATCCTAATCAGTGTGACGCTGACTTTTGACCTTGAAGCATTACATGTTAAAATGGTATATATATATTTTTTTATCTTTACACATATGACTGGGGCAGAATTCTTTGAAATCTTTGGCTTCAAAAAGCTGCAGTGTCTAACTTTATGGGTCACTGTGACATCATAGGGTGTTGTAATGAAAAACTAAAAGGTGTGTAGCACAGCTCTCTCCATGTCCTTTCATATCATGTATTACTCAATATGGTTGATTGAAATTATATTTCAAGGTTAACTTTGACCTTGCTCACTAACAGTGAAGGCCAAGGTCAAATGCTTAGCTAACCTTGGTACTTGTGTCCTTTAAGGTCTAGTATATTGCTGTGACATTTGAATATCATTCATAAAAATTTGTGCATGATATAAAGCTTTTTTTTCTATTTCCTGGCTGTAAACAACAGTGAACACTGAGCTGAAATGAGATGAGCGTCCTGGTCCTGTTGTCAATTATTATTTTACTAATGAACATCAATACATTAACTTTGTTTTCTCTCATATATCCATTTGTCACATGTTCTATCACAAAGTAGGACATCTGTTGAAGTCAAGCCTGCTTTGGTTCTGTACACAAACACTGTTACCTTGTCCTCACAGCTACTGGCAGAGAGCGAGTACCAGAAATGGAAAATAATCTAAGTTCCCCGTGAGTCAGGGCCTCCGTGGATTCCCTCTCACGGTTCATAAAGAGCTTAATGTGTACAGAATAAAGTCGTAGCTGATGTTTACAAAAATAATTTTTTCAGAAAGCTGGGCTGCAGCCGAGTGGATTCCAGTGCTTCAGAGCACCACACAAAGGCCAAAGGTGGAGGCATCCGCTTTCTTCTTCACTCACAGTGTTTACACATCTCTGCATTTAATCATTACTAGACACTCCCCCGTTGAGTATTAGCCCTTTTCCATTAGTACCCACTCGGTTTGGGTTGGCACGGCGTGCCATGGTTTTCAGTGTTTTCCATTAGGTGGCAATCTGAAAATATCACATCAACAGATTAACCAATCGATGTCGTCCAGTCATTGGTGTCACCTGATGATTCATGAGAGCGCCTCCTTCAATGATGGAAATGACTACACACAAAAACAATGTGTTCCCAGAGTCTTGTGGTCAGAGATATTTTGCACAAAATTATTTACAAAAATCTTTTGGTTTGAAAAGTTACAAAACTCCTTTCAGAACTACGCAAAAATGTTTATGACGACTGGGCTGAAGACCTCGGTGTTCCTCTTCTGAGGACCAATGGTCAAACTGTTTGTCCAATATTCAGAAAGGCTCAATAAATGCCAGATATAAACTAATCTAGTTTAAAGTCATTCACAGTTTACATTTTACTAAAGTTAACCGGATCTATAGTTCTGTATCCCTCTCATGTGACAGATGTAATATCGGTGAAGGTTCCCTTGCACATCTATTTTGGCATTGCCCTGTCTTGAAAGCTTTTTGGAGTCAGCTTTTTACGTGGTTTTCAAACCAATTTAGGAAAAAAGTACCACTTGATGGTACACTGGCTATACTTGGATCATTTGCATCAATTGAATCTTTTTCCTTTTCACAACAGATAATTACAATGGGTATGCTGGCTGTAAAGAAACTTTTTACAGTGGCGGTCTTCTTCGGCCCCGTGTTTAAAAGGTGGCTTAATAAGATGGTGTCTGTGGCCAGAACAGATAAGATTTGATAGAAAAGGGAAACTGGCGAGTTTTTGTACGATTTGGCAGCCATTTCTAGAATTCCTAAAAACTAACTAATCATAAGTCATGCCTCACACTCCACGTGAATTTTCTTATTTTATTTTACTTTTTATTTAGTTAACATTGTTGTCATTTTTTCTTCTTTTCTCTCCTTTTTCTTTTTTTCATGCTAATAAGATCACAAATGCCAAATGTAGTAATTGTCCTCAATTGAATCTGCATAAGCATGTTGTGTTTAACTTAAAAGCAAATAATAATAATAATAATAATAATAATAATAATAATAATATTTAGGACTCCAATTTGAGCCCATACTCTCTGTTATCATGGGCTGCACACCTGCTGAGCCCTGCACGATGACCCCGCGGGGCTTATCTGGATCATTATCACTGTCATTACTTTCCCTCGTGTTTAAGGCTGCATCACCTCGACACAAGCTACCGTAAAGAAAGCACAGAACAAATCTAATAACTCCCACGGCAGCCAGGGGGTGTGTCTGCGACGCCTGTTGCAAGTTAGCTGTTCAGAGTCAACTGTACACGGTGTTTCTGCCGTGTATTCTTCCACCCACACCGAGAAAGGTCAGACATAAACCCACGCGTCCTGCTTACTAACCTGGGCTCCAGCAGTCTGCTGCTCTGGCTCCTGGCTCTCCTGCATCGTTCCGGTCCTACAGTGTGAATCCAGCAGCGGCGCACTCGGTCTGTGGTAGGAAAACACACCGGACAGCTGATATCTCCTGCGCGAACTCACCAAAAAGCGCGTGCCGGAGAATTAAGAGCCGCCCCCCAATTCCCGTTAATGTGATAAAGACGCAGATCTCGCGGTGTTTGCTTACCGACACAAAGGCATTTTCATGACAGGAGCGCTGTACTCAAGGTTTTTTTAGGTTTCACAGACTCGAGGTTCAGAATTAAGGTTTAAAGAAATAACTTCATATAAAACTTATTTTTTTATTTGAAATAATAAAAAAAATCCGTAAATTCTTATCACAGATAATGTGTGCATGTCCAGAAAAGACGGAGAATCACTACAGTAAGAGCACATCTGCTCTCAGAGATAATGAGATCATAAAATCAGGTTACAGTTAAAAGGCAAAAATAAAAAACTTTAATCAAATTTAATCAGAAGGAAAACCAGTGCAGAAAATTATCAGACAAGATCAGATTCTTCAGACTCGTGTGCAGCTCTTTGTTCTCATTCAGATTATTAGTGCAGCTAATCATAAAGGTATAATTCAACCCCCCGTTAGCTCACTAGTGCAAGATGTATGATTCAAATATATTTAAATACATCTAAAGAATAAAACACTTCTTATGTGGGATGGAGATGTAAATGCTCCAGAAAAAAGCATCAGTGTGGGAGTCATAAAAGGGTGCAGCTTGATCAACGTGGACATATTGTTGTTTGAAACAACCAAACAAAACATTAAAACATTAAATTGGATTTTAGCTCCAGTGCAGATCAAACCTCTGAAAGCATCTGTGGAAAAACAGTAAAGAAGCAAATATTTAACGATGTGCTTTGTTTGTATGAATCTGACCACACATGGGTTCACTTTGTTCATGCTAAAGCTAAATGCTAGCAACACTGATACTGTGTGTTTGTGCTGAGTTCAGCCTCATGTTGATATCTGAGCACAGAAGAAGTCCTGTGGTTCATGAGGACGGGGATCCATGATACTGGTTTCACTAATCGGACTCTCAAATGCTGTACGTTGCCTTACATCACTGGTGTTGAAGTAGTGATGTCCAGCTGCTCCCTGCTGCTCTCGCTCTCCTCATTTGCTTGTTGGATGTTGGTCCTCCTGGACACCTTTCTCACCTGAGCTCGAAAAGTCTTACAGAGGAAAAAGTAAACAACAGGGTCCAGACAGACGTTGAAAACTGACACCATGGCGGCCGCCTCCTGCAGGTTGTACAAAACTTGACGCACAGAGCAGTTGTTCCACAGAAAGGGATAGGGAAGTCGAACCAGGTGATAGGGGACAAAGCAAACACAGAAGATGCTGACCAGCACCAACATGTTCCTGCGAGACTTCACCAGCTTCTCAGAGCCAGAGGAGGCCAGCTGCCTCTGCTGTGCCTGCAACACCCTGCGGGAGATGCTGTAGTAGAAGAAGACCATGGATATGAAGACCACGAGGACAATGATTGCAGAGAAGGTGTGGAGGATTTTGTACTGCAGGCTGACTGATGAACTAAAGGAATCAAGACAGTATTTAGAGGTCAAAGGTTCCTTGGAGCTGATAAAAAAGCTGATAAAAGTGATTGTTGGAGCCAGGAGAATAACCCAGGTGATGACAGAGATGATTCTCGCAGTTCGTACTGTTTGCGGGATGTGAGTTCCTGAAGGATGTACGATTTTCTGATACCTGCAGGCAGAAGAGGAAGGAGGCAGAATACAACTTCACTAATCAGTCACAAATGTGCCAAATCTGCAAAGGTCAATATTGAGCCAGAAAAAGGTACATTCATGCTTTTGTCAGGAGCACAGGGTGTGTACTTAACCACTTAATCTAGTTTTTACGTTGCTGTTAACTACAGTCTGAAATCAGTAAAGATTCTTACCTGTTGGCAGCGATGTATCCCATAAATATGATGCTGGCGTACATGTTGAGGAAAAAAGCAGAAGCTCCAACTGTGCAGTGGACCAGCTGAACCATGGGAGACCTGCTGATATAGTGGGTGATGCGCAGTGGCAGAGAGAGGCAGAGCAGGAAGTCAGCAGCTGTCAGGTTCTTCAGGTAGACCATCAAGCTGCTGGATGCCTGCTGCCGAGCCCGACAACAGTAAAACTTCATGATGAAGCCATTGAGGGGTAAACCCACCTGTAGAGACACAGAGAGGATGGAGAGAACAGGACGTTTGTAGATGCACAGAGAACCTTGAACCAGTTTCTTAAAAAAAAACACAATCTGAACATTTGAAACTTACCAGAAACACCAGACTGTAGACCAGCATAAAGAAACGGTTGACTGATGTGTCGACACCATCCGATGTCTCGTTTTTTGAGCAAATCATGTTTCTGGATATGAAATACAAAACACTTAATAAAACACTCTTTTAAACTGTATATAAATGCTCGGTTTCTCTTTGAAACAATATTTATTCATAGCATTTTTGTTACCTGTGTTAAATCAGTGTCAGACAAACTTTAAATATTATGCTCTCTTTGAGACAGCGGTTTTGAAATATGACCTCTTCTGGTGAAGGTTTAGACAGTTAATTAAATTTAGTTTCTATGTGATGCACCCATATGTTCTTGTAGTGTTGAAAGTAAAATTGAGACACTTAAATGCAAATACAGAAATCACTGACACCATCTTTTGTGTACAGTCTGTAGTTGTGGAAGGAAGCATTCATTAGTAAAGATAAGTCAACCCTCTCATGAATCTTATGACAATCCATTAAGCACAAGCTGAAGCAGTGAGCTGTAGGCAGAACCTGGACTCATCTCTGAACATAACGTTTCTCTATATGTTCACGTTCCAGTGCACATGGTACTGACACCAGGCCTGGCGGTGAAGGGCAGTCATGGCAGGCCTCCTGGGCCCCTATGAGCTGGAAATGAACATGAACCAACCTGCTCATGTGTCTAACCATTTTCCCCCACACGGTAACACACCCGCCGTACGTCAAACTCTGGTAATTGGTGATTCTCTTCAGAGATATGTGAAGCTAGAGACACCGGTAACCATAGTCAATTGTCTTCCAGGGGCCAGAGCAGGCGATATTGGGGGAATTTTAAAACTGCTGGCTAAGGGTAAACGTAAATTCA